TATTTATAATGACACTCGCTGCAAACATCGTCAAACTCAGATTATAAACTCAGCAAGCGTCATACAAAATAAAAGCTCGGTGAATAACATTGCGTGACAATATAACTATAAGGCAGGTATACCAATAAATCAGCCGGTTATTACACTAACAGAAGAATTTTAACGCGACATGGTCCGATACGCTTGGCAAAAAAAATAAATAAATCCAGAGTATCGATATGAAACCTGATATATGCATGCGTGGTATGATATAGAACCAGGGTTGTCATGACAACAAATCTATGATGGGGTGTTTAACATTTACACGTATTATCTGACTAATATGGGATTATCTATGTTACAAATATCTTTTTACGCGAATATCATATGCGTTGACGTGTTTCAAGATAAGTACACAGACAACATGTGTTCAAGGTTGATTGATATTTCCCATAGTTAATGTATTTCTTCTGATAACGCGAATATACTTGTAGAACATACGATGTGAATATGTACTATGCTATTAAATTGGGTGATTTTTTGCTAAAATAAAAGTGACATTTTAGTTGTTAGATTTCCCAAAATTGAGAATATCTGATCAGATAATTTCCAAACTTATTAAGCAGAAAACAGTCGTCTATTTAAAAAGCTAATCTATTGAATCGACCCTACGGCGAGTGAAAAATTTCCTACACAGACAGATAACATATGAAAATAATAACAATAATAATTAAAAAAAAGCAAACGACGCGTGTGTGTAATTATAAAAAAGCAATTTCATCGAAGCTTATTTTATATTGGCGAATGTTTAGTTTACACTGTAACAATGGCCCCGTAATTTCAGGAAATTCGCTATGCACAAATAACGATTAGTGTGAACACAATCATCAGTAAGATTACTCTTATGGTTTCCCCGTCACATATTAGATATGAAGCGTATACATAAAAACGGAAGTCACAACTAAATCGTAATAATGGCTATCTGTCTATAGAAAAAATATGATTGCCCGAACTAGGGTAGAGCGGGAGTATCCTTTCCATATGTTAGTTTTCTTCGTAACTATTGAAACTACGTATGTGAGAATGCACCTAATTTTCGCCCATCATGCCGTGGATTGTGAAATGTACATGTTCGTGGATTCTTGGATGAGTATTGTGAAATATGTACATGTTCACTACTTTTATATATATTCTGTGTTTGCATTGTAAGGCTTCTGGAGCAAAGTGATTTATTTCCAGTTATATTATGTAGCATTTCATTTTAGAAGGCAGCCAATTTACGTAAGAGTGTTTTTGTTTTTTTAATATCTGCGTGCTGGGCCGTGAAATAGATAATCGACATAGTCTGTGTTATACGCAATGTATACAACAGCGTTCGTCACTAATGTAGCGTGGTAAAATTCCTCGCTAATAGCGAAAATAGTATTATGGTAAAAAAAACATGTCTAGTTATTATGACACATTTATTCGCCGTGTAATGTGTCGCGTTCTGTACTTCAATAGCGACACTTTTAGAAGTTAAAAAAAAACGAATAACTACATGACAAGCTATAAAAAGAATAGAAAATCACGGATACGTTACAAAAAAGATCTTCGTTATCGGAGTTACAGAATCAATGTTGCAATATATCTTATATATTGCGGTATTTACAAAGGCCCCGAGGAAGCTGCAGCCGATCGAAAAGGCATCCGCCGACGGTATACAAACAGTAATAGGTTTTCCATCTTATTATTTGTGGTGAATGCTCAGCTCGATCACGTTATTCGATACCACGCACAGGTGTGAAATCGTGCCGCGATTTATAAAGTAATTATCTTGTTTTCGTTTAAATAGTAATATTCCATGGGCATGTTACGCATTTGCTATGTCCGACAAGTATTCGTGGCAGTATGCAGTACGACCCACAGCCCTTCGAGATATATTCAAGTATTGGTCAATTTAATACAAAGTACTTGTAAACCTCGATTTTGTTACAATTCCCTGGCGAGAAACATTGCTTTTGTATTCAACTAGCTAATAACTGATAACACCTCGAGTGAACCGCATGTACTCAGCTACTGCCACGGAATTCTAGAGTTACTGTGGGTACTCTAGTTTCCAGGCAACATTATCTTAGGAGAAGGAAAAAGATACAGGCTTTTGCGTATGGCTGTATCTACGAAGATACGGCGCATCACTTTGCACGTATTATTTTTTACATGAAAAAATACAACTTACCGGATGAACAATGAGATATTACTGAAAATGTGGGTCAGAGGTGAATAAAATCATCGATACAGACATATGTTGTCATGTCAACAGAAATCCGAGTTAAAATAATTATCAACAGTAGGCTACGAAACTTATCACGTTACAGAGAACAATTTATGAAATATACACATGTGTCAACACCTCCTAATAATAACATCAATTCAACTGGATTTTAATTAATATCCAATTTAAAGCTTTATAAGCAATAAAATAACGCATCATCGGTGGAAAGTAATTTGATTTGAGAAAGTATGCACATGCCGTGTAGCCAAATTCCGTTTCTAAGATTAAATTAAGCGCGCATGTAGGAGTTTAAAATTAATTGAATTGGCGACAGTATTGGCAGTTGGACAGCGAGCCTTTAAAGAAAATATAATTGTCATTTTGTTTTCAATGTTACTGTTACTCAAGAGTCGTACTGTTTTACCTAATGTTAATCATACGATAAGGCGTCTGCAAAACGCAGTTAGTGCTTGCTCTCAGAGCTTTCGCGAATTATATTTAACAGTATAATTGCACAGGGCAACTCCGACGGGTGCACCAATGATAATCACGGTTACGCGTAATGTAAAGTATTATTAAACTATTGGCTTTCAGGGTGGACTAATTAGAATTGATACAGTGACAGTGTTTCAAATTAACTTACCTAATTCCACGCAAACAGATACGGAACGTTCATTCTTATATGAAATTTGTCACGCTTGGCTAAGTCATTTAGATTAAACGCTTTCAGAAACTTTCAAAAGCGATTTTCCCTCAATACACGCCTGAATCGTCTATTATATTGTACAATGCAAAGACTTGGATCTTGCGTTTCCCGATTCTAATTATTAAATGCTTATGACGAAGACTCATATCGTGTTCATAATAACGGTTAAACAGAAATCATTCAACTTAATAACATTATAGATGCTATTTTGAGTCGATCGTTATCGGTGTGTAAGTGTAACATAGAAATTACTCCCAATAAGCTTCTATTTAATGGGGAAAGGTTGTGGATATTAGGAATATTTCTTCTTTTTTTTATATTGAGTTCCTACAATGTAACGTTTTGTTTCGTGAGTGTTAGTGATTCCTTCAAATTTTATCAACGAGTCCCGACATGAATATTTAAGTATCGTCTAATATCGTACTTACATCTCACAAAAAAGCAAATATTTTCACAACAAACTTCAGTTATAAAAAATAATGAAAGTGCCTATACTGTCATATTTTATTTTTCATTCACCAACACGTTATATTAACGAGCCTGGTCTAAAATAACATAAGTGTAAATCTGCCGTGGCAAATGAATAAACATGTATATTTTTAGAGCTGTGCACCAAAGAAAATACAAATTCCAACATTTGCTGACGCTGTTCGATAGTTTATTCATCTATAATTTTGATTATATTTTAGAATGTTGTTTCAGTAAACAATGTAATAGAAAAAAACGCCCAGTGCGGTGGGTATACGTGGGATTTGGTACGAAAAAAACACACAACAACAACGCGAGATTAATATGCCGATTAAAGTCGACGGCATGCCATATTAGTTTACTGCGACCCGGGTGTGACCCATGCGATCGAATCCCTGTCTTCCACAAGCTGTATAAAAGGCTGTAGAAAAGACTTGTCATTGATGCATGTGAATGTTGCTTTGCTTTTGTGGTTGTGTACATGGCTTACGGAATTCGATCGTCTGGCATTGTGATCGTATTGTTCACAAAATAATGCACAGAGCCATCTGCAATTCAAGACGTTCTACTAATAGGTATGTCTTCTTTTCAATACGCCACAAAGATGTGTAAGGTGAGTGGTATAGATCGCAATATGCCGTACCACGACTCACAACTCTTTATTTGCAACATTAACAATATAATCGAAATGTACAGGCAGGAAGAAATCAACATCAGAAAAATTATCGGGTTGAAAAACGTAATGTTGTTTATTTCTACTGCAATGGCAATGCTAATTTTCAACTTTCGCCATGAAGTAGACAACGTATGGTTTTTAAATGGTGTATAGAATATGGGAATTGTCGTCGCTCAGAATTAGTTTAAAATGCGTATTTTACTGTATCCCCGGCGTAATACCTGATGTTACCTCTCCAGCAACAGAATATTGAAGACAGACAAAAATCGAAGCATTTGCGTTTTTGCAGCAGAAAACATTCGATAAAATATTGATTGTCTGTTCTATTGTTCTAGACAACTTTTATATTAATTGATTAATATGCGTCAATGAGGGTTACACCATGGAAATATTAATACCGTTTTTAAATACCGCTACGAATGGAAAATTGAAAGTCCATTTAATTACCGACGCGTGCAGGGGAAACAAAACCGCACCCGTCTTTCCAATAATCTGTGCGCATCAGCGTGGCAGACGCAGCTGCACTGTGTCCCTGTGTGTGTATCCATATACCGTATATGTTTAGTCGTACACTAATGGTGGTCAGCGTATTTAGTGTTGAATTGCTTTCGAGCGCCCTAAGCAACATTTCCGCTAGACTTACATCGTACTTCAAATTACGTATCGCTATATGACCGTATCTCGAGCTCGTTCATCAAACTCCTGCTTCTACCAATGGTCCCAAAATGGGAAGTCATAGTGAATTGCATGTCTGTGATCAGGGTTGAAGTTCTGTGCACCTGGTTTAATTATTACGCGTACGTAATTAATGGGACGGCAACTGAACATAACTCTGCAATGAAATGAATATGAGTATACAGCAGTAGTGCGCGCGGGTGTGCGTGTGTGATAAATGAGATATTTGAAATTATACCTACTTCTCGAGACCGACGTCACATTCATTAGGACATTCTCATAGTTATTAGGGGTTATAGAACGCCTTCCGGCTGGGTCGCTTGGAAAGCTCACGTTAGCGGCGTTGTTTTTGACCCACATATCTATGCTGAACCCCAATATGTAGTACGTACTGTCGTTCATATCGAACATGAATCCGATGAGATGGAATTCAAAGTATTCTAACATTTTGACTAAAGCTGCTGATAATTTACGAAAATGTGGATATGTTCGAACTAATGTGGGAAACGTATCACGATCACTTAGCACGGGGTCGACCGCGGCGCCAGATAATATTGGCAATTTCCAGTGTCCACCGAGGGAGCCGATTACGTCCATGGAGACCCAACATGCTGGGCCCATGATAACATCCGGGTCTATAAAGGTCCTGACGTCTGTCAGCACGATGATTGCTGGGACCGTGCTGCACCGGCTATCATTGGTTATGACCACGATTTCGTGCCCCTGTAAAAGTCCGGGGTCGTTGTTTATATTGTCCACGGCAATATCTATAGCAGGAATCACTCTCATTCCGGTGAAACCATCCTTGTACGGGTCCACAGAGAATTCCAGCAATACAGACATTATGAACTGGCGAGCGTTGCATTTGTGGTAGAGACAAATCCAAAGTGTAATTAGCGTCCAAATAACTCGTAACATCGACTTGCACATCATTTAGCTGGAACGATCGTTTAATGAACGTTCAAAGGAAGAGAGGTTGTAACACTGGTGCTGCGTGGCCGGTTGCGAATTGACAAAAGAAAAAAAAACGTAAAAACAAAAAACAATTACAGTATTTCACAGTGTTATGAGAATCGTGTCGTTTCCACGATATTGTCTCTCGCTACGAGCATACGATTACTATGATTATTGTACACAGTCGTATTCAGCAACAGCACGCATGTGAAAAGATCGTTTGAAGAAGCAGCGTTCCTCAACCTAGTCTAACAAGCAGTAGCATTGCTGTTGAAAATCGCACACTTACGTACACAATACTCCACCAGAGAATCACGCATCGTCAGCGGTCTTCTCCTCAAACGGGGCCGCTTTTTCCTTGAAAGGCTAGTCCGTGTCGCGTACACCGGTGAATAAATGCTCCTGATATCACGGACGACAGAAACAAATCCCCTGTTAGCAGAGTGCGATGCGCTCGTGTAACTACGGAAAGAACACTGGATGCAACCGACGTGGGAAGCCGTACTCTACAGATGTGAAAGGCCGCTGGGATTTGAATATTACAATGAGGCTCTCTGCTACTTGTATATTTGTACATTTCATAATAAAAAATAGCTAACTCATTCCAAGAGAAGAGAGCAAACTCTGGTGACGCGCGCGCAAGTGATGAGTTCTCATTATCTACACCCATTCGCACATTTTGAGTAATTCGTTCTATCTGGAATGCAGATTTTTCCATTGACGTAACCACGGCAACACGAGTCGATCTATCGAGGGTATCATCGAAACCCAACATTCGCTGTACTTAAGTGCATTGGCGATTTCCTCGTAACACGGCCCGCGATATATGTCATCTTTCACGTGTATTTTTGAATTATTGGTCATGTTTGTCGCTCTTAGTAATATCCGTCACATTGATTAAAGAAGGGTAGACGTGAAGGTACGTAAGTACCTAATACTGATACCTTCCAATATTCAGGTAATTTTGAATTATTTCACAATTCTGCGCGTTTTGAGTTATACTATTATTAATATTGCCGGTTTGCTATGGGAATTCAATGCGTAGTTTCAATACACGTGCAAAGCCAGATTAACTAGAAATATATACCCCATCAACTCATGTCTGTTTCAATTGTAACAATAACCACTGGTGAATTAATTAAATACTTAATATACTGATGATACAAATCCCATTATGCATATTATTACCTCTTAGAATAAAATTGGCATGTTGCCAGTTCGCGGTGAGAGGGGTCAGTCTAATAAATAGCAACCGAGTAAACCTGTTATTGGGAATTATTCTACGCGTATTGTAGCCGAGAGTAATACGATCATTAATGACCCGACTTCATCGGTGTGTAGTCTTGTCTATTGATGATACGCTGTGGTGCGCATGCGCATATAATGTCCGTTGCATGTTTGCATAGAAGTTAAATTTTCATGCACAGTCGTGGTTGTGCTCCCCAGTAACCTCAACATACTCAATAATAAATTGTCATTAAAACATATTTTAAAAGTACCATAAAAAATGATTTCACGGAGTTCTTGGGTACCCGTTGAAACCGTTAAAAGCATAAATTCCACTGAATTGAGTATTATTACACAGTTTTATATCTCCGGGAGAATTGAGTCAATGTGATTTACTATTTTACTGATATAATAGTATGGTCTTGTCAATAAAATACTTGAAAATTACAGTACGGAACTAAGCTCCGGTGATAGATATTTATGTGATTCAGTATACGATCTCAAGATGATGGCACGGCAGGGACTGTGATTAAGATGATTCTGGCATCATTGGCTGCAGAATCGTAAGAAGTTTGTCCTTTCTTCATACTAGTATTTTGTAAATAATACTACTAAAAATAATATAAAAATAATGTGCTGACAAACGTATCGTGGTTAATATTTATATTCGTAGCTGCAGACAATAGCGCATTTCTATGCGTGTACTGAGAACTATTTGCACTAATAATAGTGACAAATATTCGCCATCTGAATGGGCACAGTCAGAACCAAAGCCCGGAGGCTTGTAAGCGATTGAATACATTTTTGATTAAACTTAATGAGCGTATGCTGGAATGACGACCTTCTTCAATTTGTGTCACATACACGTCTGTTTATTTCTGTTGGTATAAAAAAAATGTCCGATTTCGCAATAAATCAAATTAGTTATGTAACATCCGAAGGCGGCAAATGTTTTCTTACGAGTAGACATAGTTGTCTTGTAGAGCACATGCTTGTTTGACGCATGTCTAAGAATGTAGGCCTTAGACGGGAATGTTGTACCGTAATCCTCTCATTTAGCGTGGATTAGGATGTTATTTATAGATTTCGTCTCCTAGTCGCTTCTTAATTATTTGTATATCTAGTGAACGTAGCTACAGGTAACCAATCTATTGTCGCATATTACGAGTTTAATATAACAGGCATAATCTACGGTGCGCGGTAATAGCTTTGGGTAAAGTATAAATGAAATAGATGAGGTTTACGTGCTTATGCTACCATATGCGAAATTACGAGCAGCATTGTCATAATAAATGAAAATGTGCGTTACATGCACAAATCAAACAATTGTAGGCGCATTCGGTCGTCGATCTTTTAAGCGTTTTCTTTTTTTAAATACTTGAAGAAACGCATTTTATCGGTGATGGAGACAACAATCGTACTAATGGGTGTATACGACATCGCGTCGGATATATTTATGTCATTGTCGTACATGGGGAAAAACACTCAACACATATGCACCGGACCGCCATTTTATGGCAGTACACGTTATGTGCGTCATTTAATATCCAGCATGCGAATTAAATATATTTTAGGAACAGATTGGATTAGTTTATCAAGTACATGTTTGAAAAATATCCCTGTAAACGGACATCTTCTCAATAATTGCTTTTAGTGACGTAGATTCACGGCATGCGGCTGTACCTGTCGCAAACCGTGGTGACGTGTGAACCAAAACCGAAGTCTGAAATATGTAATGTACATATAGTAATAAAAAGTTACCGAAATCTATTCCTCAATAACGGAATAATTACTGAATCGTGCAAATTTAATTATTTTTACTATTATTCATTTCATAGACGTTCCCAGTTAGATCATTCATTCTCCTCACTCAGATTATTGGTGACTGACTTATATTGCGTAGAATGCATTAGCGCGTGGGATATCGAAAGCTGCTAATTGGTTGTGTACACATATTGATGGGGATCCAACGACTCGGCATGGAGTGTCTACAGCTGTCAGGTTGAGACCTCAAATGAAGACTGTGACGGACTCATAAGAGACATGGTACACAGCAGTTAAATGTGATTTAATGGCGCGGTTAATCTCTGAAATATTTGAAATGCAGATAACAAGACAAGATACGAAACAACATGAATCTTATTTTCGCATCCAGATATAAACGGTGTATTTTAATTATTAAATCTTGAATCATCTTGTTAGCAATTAAAATACAATTATCAATCACGCTGAGACTGTAAGTATTCCACTCCCTTAGCCGATAAATGATGTTACAGTATCTATCATGTTTTATGGCGGATGGTATAATTTCGAGCGTTCTTACGTAAGGACCGTATATATAAAAAAGACATATACAGTTGCGACTATTAATAGACCATATCTGACACTATGGCATCATAATCGTGATACCAAGTATGCCAGACCCAAGAGCATTCGTAGAGCTTCATTGGATGTGTGTTACACTGTTTATTACATTATTAGTTTTACTATTACACATTCAATGGTTTGAATTTGTCTGAATTGCAAAAAAAAGAAGATCTGATCAGTGGTTTAACGTGAGTGGGTCACAGCGATTCACTTGTGTCTCCAATCACTCCAATCACTGTGCGTTCTGTTCCCAGAGAAATAGAATCGATGACAATAGTTATATATATAGTACTAACGCTTAATAGACGAAACCCGAAGCATTGCTCGGATTTGTGGTTTGTGTTACTAAGTTATTATGTTAGAGATGTCAGCCGATTTGCACATTCAGCCTAGCGTTATAGACTTAGGACGCGTTCGAGAGATATGAACAAATACACTGCAGTTGGATTTTTTTATACCGAAGCGATCGCGGCATGTACCCGTTGGAGTCGCCCTCGTGTCACTATAATTCTTCGTACATATGGTGAGTGATAATTCGCTATGCACTTCGTTTTAAAAATCGTGACAATGTAACGCCATCGTTTCATACATGGAATTCGATTCTTCCAATAAGATAGGGTGTAAATAACCATGTCCACAGTACTATTAATCCTTTCATACACTGGTTTACTAGAAGGCAACGAGAGTGTAAAGCTTTGCCACAGCTGCAACCTCTCTTAGAAATGTCATGAAAATTCGATTTATTGGCTAATAATGAAAAAAAAAAACATGTTTCATTGGTAGCATAACCCAGATCTAGTTAGTAGTTTGGTGTCTAAAAGGCAACACATTCGAAAAATCATAATAATTGGTCTACAACGTTTTGAGTTATTTTTCAATAGCAAACAACATGTCTCCATGGCAACCGGACCCAGAAGCCTTCCAAAAATCAAATAGATTGGTACTCACGGTAACTCAGATCATTCTAAATATTTCCTGAAAATTCGTCCTTAACTCTATTCTTTATCTAACGATGACAAAGAATCCTCTCAAAAATCTAATTAGCATGGCAACAGACTGATTCTTGTCTAAATAAATCATGGATATTTATCCATAATTTTTACGATTCATAGCAGTGGTTAATATCAATTCCAACAATTTCTGTGCCTACCGCTTCTTGATCTTTCCCAAAATCTAATCTTTGTTTCAACGTGAACTTCTTCAATCTGGAAATTTCATGAAAAGAGACAAACCAATAAAAACGTCGGCAATTCCACAACCCCTTTGCTTGAGGTGATATTACTTTATCTGTATGC